TCGAGGAAAAAGTCGAAGAAGCACAAAAAAAGATCATCATCTTCATCTAGTGGCTCAACGGACTCTAACGAGAAGATTCGCCAGGCCGAAGAGTTCCTGGCAAAGAAGAGTAAGCGTTCCAGGAACTACATCAAAGATTCTGCGCAAAAAGAGCGCGATGCCGAGTATACGAGACAGGGTGAGTTGATAGCTCGGGCCATCGGCCCCCAGATCAGTGAAGAGGTGCAGGCCGCAGCGATCCAAATCACGCCGACGGTTCCCCCCGGCCCCTCCGGCGCAGCGGCCGCCGGCCCCACCGCGGTTCCGGGCGCCCTTCCCCCGGCTTCGACACCACCGGAGGGTCCTCAGCAGTTGACCCCCACGCACCAGGCCTTGCTTGAGGCGGTCCTTGGCGGAACTTTCGAGACCAAGGATGGTTCGATCCAGGGCGTCACCAAGGCAATCTCCGAAGGTTGGGCGTCGAATCCGAAGGTTGCCAAGTCGGTCGAGGCAGCCATTAAGAAGTTTGCGGGGAAAGACGTGGCGTTCCCGAGGCCTAAAACCGAGAGGATCCAATGGCTGTTCGACGCGATCCGCAAGCTGCCCTGAGCTACCCGTAGCATCTTCCTGATAATCTTCTGGCCTCTTCAAGTTCCGCTGCTCGTGCTCCTAATGTGTCTGTGCATCTCGTTCTATTCAGGATTCGCTCTGGCATGGTACCAGAACGAGGCGTTCAAATACCAGAGCGAGGCGCTCAAATGGCAGGTAGGCGGACAGGTCTTCACCAGCGTTGTAGATCTTGCCCGTGCTGACTTCTTCCCCTTCTCTTTCGCCTCCCAGCTCCCTTCTCCCCAGCTCGCATCTCCGCCGCAGCAGCTGCGAGCCATAACCGGTCTTGGCCGAAATATTCCAAGCCTCGGGGTCGGTCCTCTTGCCGATGGGATTGCTCGAGCGCTCGGGCACTAGAGGTACAAGAGATGGGGGAAATTCGTTACGTCAGACAAATATGTTAGCGACCTCTGCTTACGATACATATCTCTTGTACCTCGCCCCCTTGTTTCGTGCGAGATGGGCGCCAGCAGTGTATGAAGCCAGATATCTTGAGATGTGTCTGGCGGAGCCTCCTGCTGGTCCGACGCACGCGGACTGAACAATGGGTGTCCCTCACCCTGAGCATCACGGACACTTAAATATTTAAGTGGAGACAAGGAGAAAAACGGACGCTTAAGGACACGAGACGAAGGAGCCAACGATGATGACGACGACAGTCGTGCGTGCTGGCGCGGAGCCGAGGGGAGACTCACGGAGTCCCGGCACGTGTCTCCTCGTCAGTGTGCGCGCGGGGGTGTGCCCTCTCTCAGGGGCGAATCCCAGGAGGGTTCATCATATTCCGTGCAGCGAGCTGGCTCGGACTGGTGTGAGTGCACAGGGCGCTCAAGCTCGCTCCAGTGGCCCTCTTGCGAGCCAGCAGAGCCTCATTCCGATGGCGCTCTGAAAGGACATCGCAACCAGTGATCATCATCATCATCATCGTCATCATCATCATCATCATCATCATCATCATCAGCATCATCATCATCATCATCATCATCATCATCATGGAAATCAGCATCATCATCTTCATCATCAGTACCACCACCATCATCATCATCACCACGGCCACCAACACCACCACCACCACCATCATCATCATGATCATCAGCATCATCATGGAAATCAGCATAACCATCAGCAGGATGAGCATCATGAACATCATGAGCATCATCAGCGTCAGCAGCAGCGTCAACATCAGCAGCATCACCACCACCACCACAATCATCAGCACCACCATAATCATCATCGCCACCATGCCCACTGCCATCATAAGCATCACCACCACCATCATCATCACCGTCAGCAGCAGAAACATCATCATTATTATTATCACAGTCACCACCACCATCATCATCATCATCATCAACAACATCAGCATCAGCATCAGCATCAGCATCATCATCATCATCATCATCATCATCATATTATTATTAGTATTCGTCATCATCATCACCATCACCATCATTGTCATCACCACCATCGCCATCATCATCACCACCACCATCATCATCATCATTACTATAAGCATCGTCACCACCACCATCATAATCATCGTCACCATCATAATCAGCATCAGCATCGTCATCAGCATCAGCATCGTCACAACCACCATCATCATCAGCATCATCACCATCAGCATCAGCATCAGCAGCATCAGCATCAGCATCAGCATCAGCATCAGCACCATCACCATCACCATCATCATCATAATCGTCGTCATCACCATCACCATCACCATCATCATCACCATCACCATCACCATCATCACCATCACCACCATCACCATCACCATCACCATCACCATCATCGTCATCATCATCATCATCATCATCATCATCATCATCATCATCATCATCATCATCATCATCATCATATTCTTCTTTAACATCATCATTCGTCGTGGCTGCCACCGCAGTCGCCGGCCCTCTTCGGCGTTGTAGCCGACGCCGCTGCGGGGGCCTTCGTCGTTGTCGCCGTCTTATCCGTGATCGTCGTGATCGTCGCAGCCGCCACCCCGGGCCGCCGCCCGTCGCGGCCAGCCCGGCCCCAGTAGAGCCACGCCGGCCTCTGCGCGGTGGCCCCAATCGCGCCAACACGGTGGGAGGAAGATCCGTGCGCCCCCGGCGGATGCTGGCGGAGGAGGAGGAGGAGGAGGAGGAGGAGGAGGAGGAGGAGGAGAAGGACGATGAGGAGGAAGAGGAGGACGAGGAGGAGGAGGAGTAGGAGGAGGAAGATTCAAGCGGTGTCGAGCGGTGCCTGGCGGCGGGGGGGGGAAAGGAGGGGGAGGTGTTGTACTCCTCCGGCAAGCGCCGACGGTGCCAGCGACGGGAAGGAGAAGGAGTAGAAGGAGGAGAATAACAAGCCTGTACCTGTCGAAGGACTACGTCCGAGAGTGCCACTGCGGGGGGCCTCGGTCCGCTCCACCGCCACGCGAGAGACTGACCAACCCAGGACCCCCCGGCCGACCGCCCCCGCGATCACGGGCTCCACGCCCGCGAGCGAGGCTCCACGTCGCCCAACCGAGGCCAAGCTGAGGCCAAGAGCGTCCCATGCTCAGGCCTCGGGTGTCCCCAGCACCCCGCACGGCCCTGCCCGGGTGCCGCGGAGCAGACCCCGTGCTGCTCTAGATCCGCGGCCTCCGTGCCAACCGGCTCCCGAGGCCCTGGGGGAGAGGCGCGCTGGGGCCGTCGATCGGTCGCCCCCTGGTCTGCTCCGCCTGCGCCTCCTCGAGCTCGTGCCGCCGCCCTCGCACGGCCCAGCACCGATGCCATCTCTTCAGCGCGAGCCGTGCACACGCGGAGCTGGTCCAAGGCCGCCTGCTCCTGCACCACAGCCTCCTCCCGAGCGCGCTCGGCACGCACAACCTCGGCGGGGGTCGCCACCGCCAGCCCTGAGCTGCACCAAAGCCTTGGCCATCTCAACGGCACATGTGGTTCGCGCAGGTACGGACGTGCTCCTCGGCGGTGCGCCTGCCCTTGACCGCCGAATCGAGGGCAACCTGTAGCCCGCCGAGAGCTTCTCCTCTATCACCTCCACTTTCGTGTCTACGGCAGGTTCGTGTCGTGCCGACCCCAGCGTTGGTTTTTGACACCGCAGGGATCGTTCAACCTTGAACGATCCGCCGCTGCCGCAACGTCCGATCGTTCAACATCGATCGATTCTGGGTCGCCGGCGGCGTTCAACCTTGAACGTCCGCGCTGGGGTCGCCGCTGGTCGACACGACGCAAACCTACCGTACGATCTTCCTGAGCGCCTCGGGCATCTCAAGGGGCGGCGCCGGCGACCACGGCGCTCTGGGCCCTGGGCGACGCCACCTCCACCAGCACGCACAGCAGCAACGCCACCCGCTTCTCATGCCGACCAGGGTTAGGTCGGGCATGTCCTCCTACAGGACGAACATTAAACAATAGTCCAAAACTGCTAAAAATAGCCAAAATAGTCGAAACATCGTCCCCCGACTATTTCTTATTACACTATTTTTGAATGTTCCCCCTGTAAAGGGACATGCCCGACTCAAGCCTAGGGTCAGACAACCCCTGGTCGCCCAGCGTGTCGGGCCGGGCAAAAGGGGGGGATAGCAAAGGGGGGGGTTGAGAATCAGCTCACGTAGCTGATTTTACCGGCGCCTCCCGGCGCCGGGAGGCGCCCATGTATCGAGGAATGGGCCCGGCGGCGGGGCCGAAACCAGCTGCATGCAGCAGATTTCGTAACCCCCCCTTTCCCAAACCCCCCCTTTCGCCCGACCCGAGCGTGGCACTCCAAGGCCGTCGACGCCGTCGGGCTGAGCAGGGGCACCACCGCCGCCGCCGGCAGCAGCAGGGGCGCCGTGGGGCGGGCCAGGCGGGGGGGCCCAGGGCGGCGCGCGCGAGCGCCGATGGCGCTGGCTTCGAAGGCCGGGGCTCGAGAAGCTGGCGCAGGGAGGGGGAGGAGGAGGAGGAGGAGGAGGAGGAGGAGGAGGAGGAGGATACGCAAAAGGCGCAAAAGACGTTATCAGGGGAAGAGGGAGAGTAGTATTCATTTTGAGTAATTGTGGAGGAGCAGGAGGAGGAGGAGGAGGAGGCGGAGGAGGAGGAGGAGGAGGAGGAGGAATGGAGGGGAGGGAAGGAATCGGAGGTCGATGCATCCCCACCTGGGCCCATCCCCCTCTGAACGTTGCCCCTCCAGACATCCGCCGGTCTGATCTTGTCGATGCGCCCCCCCAAAGGTACCGACCCCTTCCCCAGGGGTGTTTTCTCGCCCCGCGGATCCATTCCCGATGGTCCCCGGGCCCGCCAACGGGCCCCGAGGACCGCCGGATGGAAAACGTCAAATCCTCGGAGCGTTGCCTTTCGACGGCGAGGGCGGGCCGACGGCCGCGCGCGCACAGGCCGGCGGGGCGGCATGCATCCGCAGGGCGCGCGGCGCCGCGCGGCGCCGCGCGCCGCACCCGCGAGGCCCGCAGTCAGCCCCTCGCACGCCGGGGGCCGCCCAGCGTGGAGTGGAGCTGCGTGTGGAAGAGGACCCGGTTGCTGGGCGCGGCGCGGTCCCCCGTCGGCGGCGAGCCCCAGGGGGGGAAGTGAGAGGGAGAGGGCCTGCTGAGGAGGCTCGGGAGTCCTCCGGCCTTCTGAGAGGCTTTCGGGGCCTCCCCCGAGGACACAAGCAGCTTCTCAGAGGGCGCGGGGGCTTCTGAGAAGTCGCGCCGCCTTCTGAGGAGGCCTTCGCCTTCTCACTTCCGCCCCTCGCTCGCCGCCGAGCCGTCCCCAGACCTCCAAGGTCTCGAGAAACTCAAAGCGAGCGTTTGCGCAATGCCCAGCCTCGGAGCCGTCAAACACGACACGGGACTGAAGAGCCGGCCCTGGGGTAGATGCTCAGAGACCTCCGGGGACCCCGCATTGAGAAACCCGAGGCATCGGATGTGTGGGTCGTCGTCGGCAACGGTCGTCGTCCCCTCGGCCGTCGGCCGTCCGTCGCGCGACGCCCGTCGTCGGCGTCGGCGTCGTCGGCATCGTCGTCGGCGTCGTCGGACTCGGCGTGAGCTCTGGTGTCGTCCCCCCCCCCTTTGGTCAGGGGGCAGCCGAGTGGCCCCCCACTCGGGGATCTGCTGGCCTCGGTCGATCCAGACCCGGGTCAGTCAGGCTGCGCAGGATCCTGCAGGGTCCTGCAGGATCCTGTAAGATCCTGCGCACGAGCCTTGGTCGGTGCACCGCTGGCTCTGCAGGATCCTGCAAGCTCCGGCGCTCTGACTGACCCACGTTTGCATTGACTCCCATTTTTTGAGCCCCGACCCACGCCTCGGCGGGACCCCCCCGCCCTTGGAGCTGCGTCCTCCCTCCTCCTCCCTCCCTCCTCCCTCCTCCCTCCTCCTCTCTCCTCCCTCCTCCCTCCTCCGCTCTCCTCCCTCCTCCCTCCTTCCTCCCTCCTGTCTCCTCCCCTCTCATTTCCTCCTCCCTCCTCCCTCCTCGCTCCCTGCCCCTCCCGCGCCTGATCGCTCCCCCGCAGACTGCCCAACGTCGCGTAGGTTTGGCGTGACGAGAAAAGTCACCATAGCAGAACCTCACGCTCGGAGCCCTAGACCAAAGCTGTCTGCGGCATGTTTCGAACGGGATCGATATGTGGTCCCGAGGCCCGAAAGAGTTAAAAAAGGTCTGATGTCAACAAAATGCAATGCCCAGATCCCAATGCACATGTCATGCGTAAGTGAATGTTGAACATCCTGGCGGGGCAGGGAGGAAACGAATGGCGACCTCGCGGGCAAGGAGTCCTAGGCTCGACTGGTGTCCCTGTCCCCAGCCACCTTGGTCCTCTCGCCTGCACAGCCTCCTTCCTGCCCAGGACAACGAGGATCGGGGCGAGGAGGACCCGAGGATCGGGGCGAGGAGTACCCGGACGATTACCAGGAGGAAGGCGAGGGGGGGTGCGGGAGAGGACGTCGAGAACGAACAGAGGAGGGCCGCTGGGGAGACGAGGACGGCGAGGGCGAGGACGTGGCACGAGCAGGAGGGCGGGGGCGGGGAGGACGAGAAACAGGGGAGGACGAGGACCGAGGACGGGCACGACGAAGAACCAGGACGGCGGCGGCGGCCGCGGCGGCCCCCCGAGGCCCGACGCCCCGAGACGACTGCGGCCTCGTGAGAACAAGAGTACGACCAGAGCGCCCGAGGCCCCCCTCGTGCAGCGGCAGCCCTCGGCCCCCTCCCCGAAGCCTTCTCGGGGCTCTCCCCGGGGCCCCCGTCGGGGCCCACTCGCTAGGACTCGGAGCCCTCCTGGGACCACCGCGCGGCCCGAGCAGCCCGTGGTGTGCCGCAGAGGCACGCAAACCAGTAATGCACAACGATGTCGACGACGCCGACGTCGGTCGACGGCGACGACGCTGACGGCGGTCGCCGTCGTCGTCGTCGGTGTTCGCCGCCGACGACGACGGCGAGGGCGACAACGACGACGACGACTGCGACGACGGCGGCGACGACGACGACAACGACCGACGCTTGTCGCCGACGGCATCGACAACGACGACAACGACGGCGGCGACGAAGACGACGACGAAGACGACGACGATGACGATGACGACGACGGCGACGGCGACGGCGACGGCGACGGCGGCGACGACGCCGACAACGTCGCCAGTTCTCGACCACGCCGGCCACAAATGAGACGACGACGATACGACGTCGTCAACCGCTCCGGCCGAGGGAGGGCGGGCACGGGCGCGCAGCTCTCCTGGCGAGCGCGAAGCCTCCTGCCGCGCCGGGCCCCTGGCGCGGCGGGGGATTGGGCCAAGCGGGCCCAGGGAGGAAGACCGGGAAGAGGACCGGGAAGAGGAGGAGAAAGAGGAGGAGGAAGAGGAGGAGTAGGAGGGCGAGGAGGGGGAGGAGATGGAGTAGTTGTAGTACGCAGCCGATGGGCAATCCATACAGAAGAGCTGATACAAAAACGCAGTTGCAATTTCGTATGTTACACGCGCATCAGGCATCAAACTGCAAGCGTTCACGAAGGGGCAGGGCCGAACGAGCCAACGAAGGGCCCGAGCGAAGGGGCCGACCAAATACCGAAGAGGAGCCAAGGGCCCGAGGGACACGACAAGGGGGAGGAGGCGACAAGCAAGCGACCGAAGACAAAGCAGGCACATCAAAATTCGCGCAAGCACCTCCTCCCTCCTCCCTCCTCCCTCCTCCCTCCTCCCTCCTCCCTCCTCCCTCCTCCCTCCTCCCTCCTCGCTCCTTGCTCCTCGCTCCTCGCTCCTCGCTCCTCGCTCCTCGCTCCTCCTCGCTCCTCGCTCCTCGCTCCTCGCTCCTCCTCGCTCCTCGCTCCTCGCTCCTCGCTCCTCCTCCTCTCTCCTCCTCTCCTCCTCCTCCCTCCTCCTCCTCCTCCCTCTCCTCTCCTCCTCCTCCTCCTCCTCCTCCTCCTCCCTCCTCCTCCTCCTCCTCCTCCTCCTCCCTCCTCCCTCCTCCTCTCCTCCTCCTCCTCCTCCCCCTCCCCCTCTCTCCCTCTCCTCTCCCTCTCCCTCTCCCTCCCTTTCCTTCTCCCTCTCCCCTCTCCCTCTCCCTCTCCCTCCTCTCTCTCCTCCTCCTCCTCCTCCTCTTCCTCCTCCCTTTTCCTTTTCCTCCTCCTCCTCCTCCTCCTCCTCCTCCTCCTCCTCCTCCTCCCTCTCCTCCCTCTTGTAATGTGGTGCAACACCTGTCGCGGGCACGGGCGCTTCGCTCTGTCGCCTCGGCTGCGTGCAGCGATGGAACAAACACTTCCCCCTCAAACGACCTCAGAAAAGGGTTGGCGGCGGCGAGGGCCACCGCTACAGCTTCCTCACGGGCCGAGGGGATGGAGGTCGAGCTGCAGGAGGAGCTCGCAGAAGCCGCGGCATGAGATTCTGCAGTGGCGAAGGCGCGCAGACAGCGTGCTAGAGACACCGTTTGGCCTCGTCGGTGCTGGCGGTGGCCGAGCAGAAGGCGCAGCGCCAGAAGCCTCCGAAGACAGGGCGGAAACGATGGCGCCCTGACACCACCTGTACTGTTTCCGTGGGCGTCTCCGGGAGCTTGGTCTTCCTCGCCTGTTCGTCGAGCTGCCCTTGCTGCTCGCCCAGCCTCGCCATGAGCCACGCAGAGAGCTTGGCCCCACTGCGGGCGTCAGAGAGCCTGGAAACATAGGCATCATGCACCGCGCGTGACGGAACGTGTTCACGGGCCGCCAGCTTCGCGAAGAAGTCGGCGCAAGCATTACCGTAGAAGCTATCCACAGATATGTTCGCCGTCGAAGAAGTGATCTAGGTCTCGATGGGCAGGACAATATGAGAAGCCTGGCCAGCGCACCCCTGCAGACGCGAAGAAAGCGCGCCAGATGACAGCGTACTGGTTTGAGGAGCTGGCCAGGCTATCGTCCCAACAGCCGCACTCGCGCACCAGCGACTCCAAATCGGAAGCGCTGTGGCACAACTGGGGCACGTGTTCCAAGGCCTGCAACGCCGCAGTCCGTTCAGCTCTGCCGGACCGTCTGGCGCGGCCCTGCCGGCACTTCACAGACCGCGTGGACGGGAGGGCTGTGGGGTCCCAATTGCACGACAGCCCAACCACAACGGCAGAGCTCGGGCCACGCCGTGTCGAAGCCCAGGACGTCTGTTCGAACGATGGTCGAGCGGATCTGGATGGGCGATAGGGCGAGGACAGGGCGAGAGCTCAGGCAAACTTGAATCGACTGGGATCGTAACGTTCGCCCGCCCCTCTGTCCATCCTCCTCATCCTCCTCCTCTTCCTTATCCTCCTCCTCCTCCTCCTCCTCCTTATCCTCCTCCCCCCCTCCTCCAGCCTTGAGTGTGAGCAGAGCTCTCCACCCGCGCAGGTCTCGCCTCCCTGTACGGTTGGCGTCGCAACGACTGTGTGCAACACCGATTTCTCGGCGCACGCTGTCCCGATGGTCGGGGATAGCGCGTAATAAGCGGGCCATCGTCGCCACATCGGACGCTATCTTTGCAACGCCAACCGTATGCATCGTGGCGTCTGTGGATGCGAAAAGAAGTCAGATGCCTCCACATCCACCATTCCACTCCCCCCTCTCCCTCCCCTTTCCCCTCCCCTCCCCCTCCTCCTCCTCCTCCCTCCTCCTCTCCTCCTCCTCCTCCTCCTCCTCCTCCACATCCTCCTCCTCCTCCTCGTCCTCCTCCTCCTCCTCCACCTCCTCCTACTCCTCCCCCTCTCCCCTCACCATCAACTTCCCCCGTTCTGCTCCCCCTTCCCCTCCCCCTCCCCCTCCTCCTCCTCTCCTCCTCCTCTCCTCCTCCACATCCTCCTCCTCCACATCCTCATCCTCCTCCTCCTCGTCCTCTCCTCCTCCTCCACCTCCTCCTACTCCTCCCCCTCTCCCCTCCCATCAACTTCCCCCGTTCTGCTCCTCCTCCTCTCCTCCTCCTCTCCTCCTCCTCCTCCTCCTCCTCCTCCTCCTCCCCCTCCCCCTTCCCTCCCTCTCCCCATCCCCCGATTCCTCCTCCTCCTCTCCTCCCCCTCCTCCCGAATTGATGCCTCGCCCCCCAACACCTCCCCCATCACTCTCCCCTCCTCCCCCCCGAGTTTGCGCCAGGTGTGAACCCCGAGATTGCAATCCAGCGGGCGGTGCATGATGTCTCTCGGGCCTGGGGCGCAGTGAATATGAACAGTCCGATCCCCTCGGCCTGGCCGACACATCCTCCCACACACCCCTGCCTTGTTCGTACCCACATGCAGCACCAACGCCAGGTGGCAGTGCAAATTTTCAATGAGCCTCCCCCCCCCCCGAGCCCTCCCACCCGGAGGCGTCCAAGAGGGGGGCGTTCAAGAAGGGGGGCACAAATCATGGCCAGCGGGACGTGCGCGGCCCAGGGGGGGCCGGGGACGTATTGAAACAAGAAAAGGGGCCATGAAGCATGGGGAGACATCATGGCCCCCGCCATCATATCCACCCCCAGTCATCGCCCCCCTCTTGGCCGCCCCCGAGCCCTCCCACGGGCCGCCTTCGGCAGCTCTGGCTCTGCCGGAACATCGCTACTCTCGGGCTCATCGAGCACAGCGTCGCCTGGGAGTGGGGGGGGGGGCGGGTGGCGGCGAAACCCGTCCGCTGCTTCTGCCTCCCCCAGCCCAAGAAGGAGGGAGACGAGAAGGAGAAGGAGCAGCAGCAAAGAGAAGGAGAAGGACAATGGAGAGGATGATTTTGTGTCTACATGAGCGCGGACGCAGCCCACATACACCCCCAGGGGTGGGCGAGCCCACTGGGGGATAACAAAGCCATCCACGACTGCACAGTGGATAAGTCAAAGCCCAATGGCACGACCACTGAACATTCGTGAGGGCGCCCACGACGCGCGCACAGCAGCAGGCCCGCCAAGGGATGGCGGGAGCGGACAAGGAGCACAGAGACAATTAGAAGAGGGCAGCCCAGACGAGCGACGGGGCTTCGGCGAGAGCCGCTGTGGACTCAGCGGCTCGCGCGAGAAAAGGCTGATCGTCCGCACGAATCGACCCTCGGCCCTGCCGCCCAAGCCAGCACACCCCTCGAAGACTCGTGGAAGGCAAGGGAACAACAGCAAAGCAGCGGGGGACACGAGCAGCAACCTTGCTTGGGGCATCGGGGGCCTCGGCGATAGCCGCTGTGGACTCAGCGGTTCGCACGAGGTTAGGCTGATCGCCTCACGAATCGACCCTCGGCCCCCGACGCTCAGAAAATGCCCGACCCTGGAGCCTGAAGCACACGAGCAAGGCAGACGTGGCGGTGCAGAAGCAGTTGAAGCGGGCACCTCGACAGAGGCCGCGAAAAAAACTGCCGAGACAGAACGACGACAGGCAGACGTAGACGGCAGGCAGGGCGAAGGGTCACACTGTGTCCAACAGCATGGTATTACACGCGGCCGCAGAGGAGCAAGGGTGTGACTGGGCACCTAAGGTGACCACCGCCGCGGGTGGCCCCTCGCTGAGGCACAAAGCCCACGGGGGTCGGGCTACACCAGGACGGAGGCCAGAAAGTGGGGCCCCGCACCTGCGCCGAAACGGCACACGGCGGGGTCGACTGGTAGCGAGCGGGGCAAGACCACACGAGGCTAACCGCTAACCTCTAGGCGTGCCAGAGAGAGAGAGAGAGAGAAAGAAACAAACAAAAACAACAACAACAACAACAACAACAACAACAACAACAACAACAACAACAGCACCAACACCAACACCAACAACAACAACAACAACAACAACAGCAGCATCAACAACAACAACATCATCAACATCAACATCATCAACAACAACAACACCATCACCACCACCAACAACAACAACAACAACAACAACAACAAGCACAAGCACAAGCACAAGCACAAGCACAACCACAACCAAAACAACAACAACAATAACAACAACAATCATTTTACCCGAACGCTCAGTGTTCTCACCAGTGCCAGGGTTTTCATGCGACGCGAGACAATACCCCCACTTCGTGGGGGGGCAGTTCAAGCTCTACCAAATATCCAAACGACTCTTCGCGACCACCCAAACCCAGCTTCCCGCCCTATGACGTTGGGACACTTCACTTCGTGGCGTGCGGACGACCGTGGCTACTACACTGGCGTGGGGTACACACCCACAGAACTTGGTCACTTATTCGGGGCGCGCGTGTGCCCAGCATCCTGCAATTGTGACATACAATACATGACACAGACAGACAGAGAGAGAGACAGAGAGCAGACAGAGAGAGAGACAGAGAGAGCGGAGTTGGTCACATTTTTGGGGCAAGTTCCTGAGATCGTCGTGTTTTTTGTTGGTCTTGCGCGCGCGAATGTCCACTTTACTTTTTTTTGCAAGGGAGTATTGAAATTTGATTATGTTAGAACAAGAAAAAGTAGCTCGCGCGAGCTCATGTAACATAAATGTTGAAAAACCATTGGTTTTGTGGGAGTCGGACAGCGCGCGCGGGATGAAATTTGGACATTTTTTTTTGAAAAACCATTGGGTTTTTGATGTTTTTATGTTGAAATCGTTACGAAACCTAAGGTTCTGGAAGGATTTCGTCTTGCGCGCGCGAATGTCCACTTTACCTTATTTTTTGCAAGGGATTATTGAAATTTGATTATGTTAGAACAAGAAAAAGTAGCTCGCGCGAGCTCATGTAACATAAATGTTGAAAAACCATTGGTTTTGTGGGATTCGGACAGCGCGCGCGGAAGGACATTTTGACAATTTTTTCTTAAAAAACCATTGGGTTTTTGATGTTTTTATGTTAAAATCGTTACGAAACCTAAGGTTTTGGAAGGATTTCGTCTTGCGCGCACGAATGTCCACTTTACCTTATTTTTTGCAAGGGATTCTTGCAATTTGATCAAGTAAGAACAAGAATTTTCATTTTATAGTGTTTTTTGCAAGGGAAAACGGAGTACAACAAAACAACCGGATCCGGTAATAATTCACTTTTCTGAAGCTTTCGCTAAAAAATGATGAAAATGTAGCTGCGGCCTAGGTTTTGGAGGGGGGTCGCGCACCAGGGGCCCAACAATAATTATTCTTTAGAAGTAATAATGTTCAACAACAACAACAACAACAATTACTAGCACGTGGGGACACTCCGTTCTCACCAGTGCCAGGGTTTTCATAGGAGGCGGGCAATACCCCCACTTTGTGGGGGGGCCGGTTCAAGCTCTACCAAATTTCCAAACGACTCTTCGCCACCACCCACACCCAGCTTCCCGCCCTATGACGTTCGGACACTTCACTTCGTGGCATGCGGACGACCGTGGCTACTATTCAGGGCCCCGCGGCCGACGACGACGGCGTGCGCGCGCGAAGAAAAAACGAATGTGTCCCGCATGGTATTATTTGACAGGGATGATGGCCCTGGCAGGTGCGCAACCGTTGTCGCAGAAGTTCGAAAAAGTTGCTCGCAAAAGCCCGTTTGACAGAAATGTTTAAAAAGTGTTGGGTTTCCTACGAATCCGCAAGAGCGCGCGGGATGAGATTTTGACAATTTTTTGTTGAAAAACCATTGGTTTTTTGATGTTTTTATGTTAAAATCGCTGCGAACACTAAGGTTTTGGAAGGATTTCGTCTTGCGCGCGCGAATGTCCACTTTACCTTATTTTTTGCAAGGGATTCTTGAAATTTGATTATATTAGAACAAGAAATGTCATTTTCTATTGTTTTTTGCAAGGGAAAGCGGATTACAACAAAACAACCGGATCCTGTACACACCCTCTTTTCTGAGGCTTCCTCACGAAAATGATGAAAATGTAGCTGCGGCCTAGGCGGCGCAGGGGGGGCGCGCACCAGGGGGCCCAACAATAATTATTCTTTAGAATAAATAATGTTCAACAACAACAACAACAAACAACAACAACGACAGCAACAACAACAACAACAACAACAACAACAACAACAACAACAACAACAACAACAACAACAACAACAACAACAACAACAAAAGAGCTACTACACTTAGACAGGGCTCCTGCGACTGAGAGGCCGCCCAAGAGGAACAGCATTAGTCCGAGAAGGACTCATGCCTTCACCACGGTCGGCATTGCTCGAGCTCGCTCCCGGGGCTGCCGAGAGGGCGCAGAGAGGCCGCCAGCTCTCAGCTCTCGGGCTTGCTCCTCCGCCTTCGAGGGGTGGCTGAGAGGAAGGAACGGGGTCCTCCTCCTCCTCCTCTTCCTCCTCCTCCTCCTCTTCCTCCTGATGGTCAGCCCATGGTCCGAGCGGACGCCTGGGCGCTTGGGGTGACGTCCGAAGGAAGCCTGCTTCCACGCGTGCGTGCGCCCTTGCGCACAGCAGCGGGGAGGAGGCTGGCACACAGATCTGAGACATCGGACCTGACCTCCGCAGGGATGACACTTGCAGACCAAACGCTCGAAGAACAACAAAACTGCCACCGCTAGCATCAAGGAACAACATGCTGTGCCCCAGGGCTGCGAGCCTCGGAGCACCAGACCCACGAATCTGGACACCTTTGGCTCCTGGGCAGATGCCTGACAGCAGGCCGCTGCCGCGAACGAGACCCTCCAAAACACACATGGCCCTGCCAGAAACGCCCCGGCCACTCCCGACAAGCGTGCCCAGGGCAAGGCGGCCTGCTCTCGCCTTGACCTGGCTGAGGTGGCGGCGGCGCCCTGACCACATCCGGTCCCATGTCAAGTCTGAGCCAGTGAGGGCACGACCAAGGCACAACTGGCAGAGAGCTTTGGCGACAAGATTGGCACGGCCAGAGCAAACTGTACACCGTCCGTCGAGCACTTCAGCATCCCCGGGGTCAAACTCGGGATGGAGCCCGACCGCTTTCGAAGCCGAGCGGTCGAAAGCGCAATTGCCTTCACGCAAGTATCTCGCCCGGTCATCTCCACCCTCGACTTCAGACTGGTGCGCCCGAACTTTCCCAGCACCGCACTAATGAGCGAAAGGCCTAAAAAACTGGGCTACTCCCACATAGGTGCGCTCAGGGGAGCACTGACTAGCAAACGGCAAGTTACGAAAGCCCACACAGTTCTCAGGGTCGAGGGGCTACAGACCACTGTGAAGTCGGGCCTGTCCCCCTACAGGGGGACTTTGGACGAAACAAAAAACATAAATACCCCGAAAAATTGTCAAAAATCATCAAAACATCGTCCCCAGTCTATTTTTTCACCTATTTTGGAATATCACCCCTGTAGAGGGACAGGCCCGACTTCGGGGATGGACAGAACCCCCTTCAGTAAAACGTGGTTTAGTGAAAACGACCTGAGGCCCAAACCTGGCGGGCGCAAGCCTGGAAAATAACGACCGCGGCGCCATCTCGAGAACCGAAAACGGACAATTCACTACTCGACGTGTCACTGTTGGGGGTTCTGTCCGCCCCCGACGACTTACGACCACTGTTGCGCCACACTCTGTGCAGAAAAACCGCAGCCAGCGGGGTCCCGGGGGGCCCGGCCCCCAGACTGGCCCTCGGACCCTCGCCGCCTCGAGGCCCGGGGCTCTCTAGCCCAAACCGACAACGCCTGGCCAGCCTGATTTAGGGAGCCCACAAAGGACGTACGCGCCCAGCTATGTACATGAACACGGCCCCTCGATTCGCGAGACGGGCCGCGTTATACGAACATTTGTGCAACACGTGGTCTCGAAACCAGCGTGGATTCATGTACATGTACGTCCTTCTTTCGCTCCTGACGATTGAGCTCTGAGACAAGCCTCCTCGCACATGACCCGCCATCGAATGCGTGCCTCCTCCCTGGGGGAGGACCAGGGCAGAAACGGAAACTCGCCGAAGAGAAGCACTGGAAGCGCGCGAGGTCCAAGACACTGCAACTGACGCCTCCGATAGCATGCGACGGTGGACGTCCCAGCCGCCGAGGAAAACCTCACACCAAAACAAAACCACAAAACAACAAAACAACAAAACAACCAACAGCACAAAAGAGCCAACAACCAACTCCTCACAACCACAAAAAAACACATCGCCTAAGAAGAGGGGGGGAGGGAGGAAGCAAGATGCACCTGACACTTCTCTTCATTATCGATCCTCCTCCTCCTCCTACTCCTGGTTCCTTCTGCTGCTGCTCCTCCTCCTTCTCCTCCTCATCATCATCATCATCATCGTCATCGTCATCAGCATCACCATCATTATCATCATAATCATCATCATCATCACCACCACCATCAGCATCATCATCATCATCATCATCATCAGCATCAGCATACTGATCAGCACCATCATCATACGTGTCACCAGCAGCGCCATCGTCACCAACATAATCGTCATCAACATCGTCATCGTCATCAACATCATTAACATCATCATGCTCATCAGCATCAACACCAGCATCAACATGATCATCATCATCAACATCATCATCAGCGCCGTCATCATGATCATCATCACCACCATCATAATCACCAGCATTAGCATCATCATCAACATCATCACGATCACCATCATCATCATCATGTCCACATTCGGAATCTCCATCGTCATCAATATCATCAGCATCAACATCATCATCATCATCATCACCATATTCATCATCATAATCATCGTCGTCATCATCAGCATCAGCATCAGCATCATCAGCAGCATCATCGTCATCATCGTTGTCATCATCATCATCATCATCATCAGCAGCAGCAGCAGCAGCAGCATCAGCATCGATACCAGCAACATTATGAGCAACAGCATCAACATCGTCAGCATCAGAAGCAGCATCATCATCATCGTCATCATCATCATCATCATCAACAACAACAACAACAACATCCTTCGAAACCTTCGGAACCACGCGGCCCACGGACAGAGTTGCCCAACCGTGCATGGATAGCAAAACAATTAGCCTGGCGAAGTGCGCAACCGCATGCAGGCGTGAGTACCGCAGTTGTGGATATCATCTTCGGTGAACCTCCCTCTAGGGCCACGACAGGTGTGAGGCGTGTGCCGGCATGGGTGGCGCGGACGCATGCGGGCTGCACCACGAAGACCTTCGGTGGAGCTCCCGGTGAGGCCACGAAGCGTGTGCGGGGTGTGCCGAAATGTGTTGCGCGGACGCGTGCGGGCTGCGCCGCGGGAACCTACGGTGGAACCCCCGATAAGGTCACGAAAAATGTGAGGCGTGTGCCAAGATTAGTGGCGCGGACGCTTGCGGAAGGCGCTGCGGTGACCTTCGGTGGAGCTCCTGATGGGGCCACGACACGTGTGAGGGGTGTGCCGAAATTGGTGGCGCGGACGCATGCGGGCTGCGCCGCTGAAGCGTTCAGTGGATTCCCTTTGGGGCCACGAAGCGTGTGCGGGGTGTGCCGACATGGGTGGCGCGGACGCATGCGGGCTTCCCCGCTGGGACCTTCAGTAGGGCTCCCTGTGGGGCCACGATGCGTGTGAAGGGTATGCCGAGATGGGTAGCGCGGACGCATGCGGGCTCCGCCGCTGGGACCTTCGCTGGAACCCCTCATAGGGGCCACGAAGCGTGCGAGCGGTGTGCCGACAAGGGTGGCGCGACGCATGCGGGCGGCGCCGCTGGGACCTTCAGTAAAGCTCCCTGTGGGGCCACAAAGCGTGTGAGGGGTGCGCCGACATGGGTGTCGCGGGCGCATGCGGGCTGCGCCTTGTCGGTGCAGCTCCCTATGGGGCCACACACCGTGTGAGGGGTGTGCCGAAATGTGTGGCGCGGATGCATGCGGGCTGCGCCACAGAGACCTTCGGTGGAACTCCCCATGGAGCCACGAAGCGCGTGAGGTGCGTGCCGAAGTGGGTGGCGCGGACGCATGCGGGCTGCCACGCTGAAACATCCGGTGGAATTCCCTACGGGGCCACGAAACGTGTGAGAGGTGTGCCGACATGGGTGGCGCGGGCGCTTGCGGGCTGCGCCGCTGAAGCCTTCAGTGGAGCTCCGTATGGGGCCACGAAGCATGTGATGAGGTGAGCCGCAATGTGTGGGAAGAACGGACGTTCGGTGGAACTCCCTATGCGGCCACGCAACGTGTGAGGGGTGTGCGCGGACGCATGCGGGTTGTGCCACGGGGACCTTCGGCGGAGCTCCCCATGGGTGTACGAAGCGTGTGAGGGGCGTGCCAGAATGGGCGGCGCGGGCGCATGGGCACCCTGCCGCTGTGGCCCTGGATGGAGCTCCACATGGGGCCACAAGCGTGTGAACGGTGTGCCGACATGGGTGGCGCGGACGCATGCGGGCTCCGCCGCTGGGACCTTTGGTGGAGCTCCGTGGGACCACAAAACGTGTCAGGGGTGTGCCGAAAGTGGCGAGTACGCATGCGGGCTGCGCCGCTGAAGCCTTCGGTGGAGCTCCATGTGGGGCCACACACCGTGTGAAGGGTGTGCCGACATGGGCGGCGCGGACGCATGCGGGCTGCGCCGCTGGGACCTTCGGTGGAACTCCCAATGGGACCACGAAACGTGTGAGGAGTGCGCACACATGGATGGCAGGGACGCATGCGAACCCGACCGCTGGGGTCCTGGCTGGAGTATGGGGCCATGAAACGTGCGAGGGGAGCACCGACTTGACCCGTGGAGGGCAAAGGCAAGGACTGGGATGAGGGAAGAAGAGGAGGAGGGGGAGGAGGAGAGGGCTGCGGGAGGAGGGAAATGCGGGGCGCTGTTTCTTCAAAGCGAGGACCAGACACCACTGGATGGTTGGGAACACATATATCCTGGCTGCAACGATTGTCTCAACCGCCTATCCTCCATGGCAGCCTGAAAAAACTGGGTGGTATTGGAAGACACGGCAGCGGCGGTAGGCAACGTTGCTTCTGCTGCCGACGCTGGTGTCGCTGATGGTGATGCTCGCCCCGGCTCCCAAGGGTAGATCGCTGTTCAAATGGAGGGTTATGCGAAGAGCCATCAGGTCAGCCCAATGGATTTACAAGCGATTGCAAGCAGGCCTGGCCAACTACAGCATGCAAACTGATGAAGTTACTACAGTGGCAACTGTTCTCATTCAAGCGCTGAAGCTTGATTGAACCTGGTACCAAGGCAATGCGTATCACATATTGCATATACGGGCGACGAGTGAAACAATGGGCCGTGACCAACAACTTATCCTCAACTCTTTGGAAGGCGAGGCACTTACGTATACTGATCTCCTTTTTTTTCCCCGACAGGCCATGAGCGAACAGCTTCTGGCCTACCACCTGCGACGCGCAACGACTCCACAGCGGTGGAGGCTTACTTACTCAGACCGATCTCCTGAATCCCAGACCTTGCCATGGTAACGGCAGCGGGAAGTATGCTTGTTTTTGTTTTGCCGTCGAAGTCAGCACTGCCTCATAATCACTGCAGGCCTGGAGGGCCACAACGTCAGGGATCGTGAGAACAGCACTGCCAGGCGAGTCACATCAGAGGAATAGACTCGCCCATGCCCACGGAGATGCCCTCATCTCGGTGGAGACCCTCCCTGACCCTCTTTGGTCGCTTGCAGGGATTACTGGGTATGGGTCCTCCTCCCCCTTCCGGTTCCCCTCCCCTTCCTCCACCTCATCCTCCTTCTCCTCCTCCTTCTCCTCCTTCTCCTCGTCCGTCTTCAACCTTCTGACTCCGCCCGTCCTCCTCCACCCCCTCCTCCTCCTCCTCCTCCTCCTCCTGCTGCAGACTGGCACCATAGCGCCGATCCTCAACCTCTGGACTAGGGACGACGACAACGAGGGTAACGGCGGTGGCAACGAGGACGACGACAACGACGACGACGACGACGGACGACGGAAGATGGGCGAACGACGGAAGATGGGCGATGGACGACGGACCACGACGAACACCGACGACGACGACGAACGACGGACGACGGACCACGGAAGACCGACGACAACGACGACGATGACGACCGACGGACGGACGACGGATGACGGACGACGGACGACGGAAGACGAACGACGACGACGACGCCGACGACGCCGACGCCGACGCTGACGCCGGCGCCAACGCCGACGCGGACGCCGACGCCGACGACGACGCTGCCGATGCTGACGCCGACGACGACAAAGACGACGAAGGACGACGACGACGGACGACGGAAGACAAAATGCGGACGACGGACGAAGACCGACGACGAAGACCGATGACGACGACGGACGACGGACGACGACGACGCCCATGACGCCGACGACGAAGATGACGACGGACGACGGAATACAAAGTACGGACAACGGACGATGTTGACGGGGAAGAACGACGACGACTATGACGACGACGACGACTGACGACAACGACAGATGACGCAAACGACGACGACGACGACGACGACGACGACGACGACGACGACGACGACGACGACGACGACGACGACGACGACGACGACGGACGACGGACGACGACAGACGACGACGACGACGACGACGACGGCGACGGCGGCGGCGACGACGACGCTGACGTTGACGACGACGACGACGACAACGACGACGGACGACGACGACGGACGACGACGACGACGGACGACGACGACTGACGACGACGACGACGATGACGACGACGACGATGACGACGTCGACAACGGCCCAGTCTCCGTCGGACAGGTCGCAGTCCCGCTCCGATGGCGTCTCCGTGGTCGCCGTCGTGCTGGAGCGACGCCTGCGCCGCGCGGCTCTGGAGCTTCCTCCTGCTGCCGTGCGCTCTGCCCCTCAGCTCCTCCGCCTCATCCTCCTCCTCTTCCTCCTCCTCCTCCTCCTCCTCCTCCTCCTCGGGTCCTCCTCCTCCTCCTCCTCGGGTCCTCCACCTCCTCCTCCTCCTCCTCCTATCCTCCTCCTCCTCCTCCTCCTCCTCCTCCCCTCTCCTCCTCCTCCTCTCCTCCCTCCTCCTCCTCCTCCTCCTCCTCCTCCCTCCTCCTCCTCCTCCTCCTCCTCAGGTCCACCTCAGGTCCTCCTCCTCCTCCCCCTCCTGCTCCACGAGTCCTTCTTCGGTCCCCCTCGAGTCCAACTCGATCGGCGGCGAGCCCAGGGAGGAAGTGAGAAGGAGAAGGCCTTATCAGAAGGCTCGCAAGCCCCCCGGCCTTCTGGGGAGCTGCCCAAGCCCTCCCCGAAGACGCAGAGAATCTCTCGGCAGGCCAGAGGCCTTCTGACAAAGAGACAACATGGCCTCAGCGGGCGGTCTCGGCATCAGCTGCGGTCGGCGCCCCGCCACTCAGGGCGGCAGGGCCAGAGAGGCCTTCTGAGAAGCCCCGCCGCCTTCTGAGAAGGCCTTCTCCTTCTCATTTCCGCCCATCGCTCGCCGACGACTCGAGTCCCCTTCGAATCATCGCGTCAATCCTCGAGTCCTCCTCCGCCTCGAGTCCGCATCCTGCTCGGGCTCCTGGTACCGTCCGTGCTGCTCGTGCTGCTGGGCCTGCGCCCCACGGAGGCCTCCCGTCCAGAGGTCAGAAGTAGCACAAACGAGCGCGTGGGAGAAAGGCCAAAGCGGACAACAAACAAGCCAGCGTTGCCAGGAGTCCAGGAGTACCCCTGGGCCAACGTGCCCCCCTTGCCGTCGCTCGGACGTCAATTCCCAGTGCACTTCTCGGTTTCGTGCGTTTTTCTTTGTGTTTCGTAAGATGAGAGAGAGCTGATCCACCGCCGCATTACTGTGGAAAATTCCCCCCCCTTTCCTCCGGAACCCGGGGTCCCCCCCCCCCCTCCGAAAATACCCCCCCCCCCCCCCCCCTCCCCCCCCCTCCCCCCCTCCGGAAACCAGGGGGGTCACTACCGGTTCGAACCCCCCCCCCCCCTCGAAAACCGGGGGGGGGTCACTACCGGTTCGAACCCCTGCCTCCCCCGCCCCCCAGAAAAACCAGAGAGGGGTCACTACTGGTTCGAACCCCCCCCCGCCCAGTCCATCATGAAAAGAGGGGGGGTCGCTACCAGCTCGAACCCCTCCCTCCCCCTCCAAAACGAAGGGGGGGGGGGTCACTACCGGTTCGAAACCCCCCCTCCCGGGCGGTTCGAACCCCCCCCCTGTCGAAAACCGGGGGGGGTCACTACCGGTTCGAACCCCCCCCCTCGAAAACCGGGGGGGGGGGTCCTACTGGTTCGAATCCCTCCCCCCCCCCGCTCACCGCCAGCACACAACTCCGGGTCCCTACCACCGTCCGCACCACATCCCCCACTGCTGTCCCCAGCACCACTGTCCTCATCACCACTGTCCCCACTGTTCCCACCACCGTCACCACTGTCCTCACCAGTGCCCCCACCACTGTCGCACTGTCCCGCTGTCCCCACCACTGTTCCCACCACGGTTCCACTCTCCCCACTTTCTCCTCGGCCCCAACCACTGTCCCACTGTCCCCACTGTCCCACTGTCCCCGCCGCTGTCCCACTGAGCTGTCCCACTGTTCCCACCACTGTCCCCACTGTCCTCACCAATGTCCCTGCTGTACCTCTGCCTCATTATCCCACCGCGGTCTTCGCCACCGCCCTCACCACTGTCGCCACCACCACTGTATCCTCCACTGTCCCACTGGTCCACCACATTCCCACTGTTCCCACACCACTGTCCGCACCACCACTGTCCCAGTCCCCACTGTTCCCACCAATTGTCCCCGCTGTCCCCACCAGTGCCCCCCACCAGTGTCTCACTGTCCCCACTCTCCCCACCATTGTCCCACCACGGTCCCACTCTCCCCATTTTCCCCACGGTCCCCACCACTGTCCCACTGTCCCCACTGTTCCCACCACTGTCCCAGTCCCCGCCGCTGTCCCACTGTGCTGTCCCACCGTCCCCACTGTCCCCAACACTGTCCCACTGTCCCCACTGTCCCCACCACTCTCCCCACTGTACTACTGTCCCACCACTGTCCTCACCACCACCTTCACCACTGTCCCAACCACTACCGTCCCCAACACTGTCCAACTGTCCTCACCACTGTCCCGCTGTGCCCTCTCCACTGTCCCCACCACCACCGTCCCCACCACTGTCCGCACCACTGTCCCACTGTCCCCGCACCACTGTCCCAACCACCACCGTTCCCACCACTGTCCCTACATCCCCACCATTCTCCAACTGTCCCGAGGAGCGGGCATCGTTTGCCGGCGGCGAGGGGGGGGGGGTTCGAACCAGTAGTGACGCCCCACCGGGTTTTTGAGGGGGGGGAGAGGTTCGAACCGGTAGTGAACCCCCCCGGTTTTCGAGGAGGGGGGGAGGGGGTGGTTCGAACCCGTAATGACCCCCTCTTTTCATGATGAACTGGGGGGGGGGGGTCGAACCGGTAGGGGCCCCCCCCCCCCCCGTTTTCGAGGGGGGGGGACGGGTTAGGAGCTCCCTGTGACCCCCCCCCCGGTTTTCCGCCAGCAGCGGTAGAACACGCTCTTTCCAAGAGGATCGAAGGATTGCAAAAAAAACAAGGATTGCAAAAAAACCTAGGATTGCAAAAAAACCATGGGTTTTGCAAAAACACCCTGGGTTTTTTCTTTGTTTTTTGCAATCCTGCGTTTTTTTGCAATCCTTCGGTGCTCCTCGCCGGCCCTCGCAGACAAAGCATGCGCACGTCCGAGCGATGCCAGGCCCTGGGACTTCCAGGGAGGCCCCACGGCCTGCGGAGCCACCCCTCGCGAGGTCCGGGGGGGCCCCAGGGGCTTCAGACTTGAGTTGCGTCGGGCGTGTCCCCCTACAGGGGGATTTTGGGTGAAAAAAATATTCAAACAATACCACCCAAATGCTCAAAAATAATCAAAAAAATCGTCCCCAGACTATTCTTTTACTATTTTTGAATATTCCCCCTGTAGAGGGAGACGCCTGGCCGCCTGACTGAAACCTTGAGCGAAAAGCTGGGGGCCCCTTGGGCCAGGGCTACCTGTAGCAACCCCCGAGACAACTCCCTCCCCCTCTCGGCCTGTTCGCCGGGATCAGCGGCGGCTTCTTCGCCAGTCTGACGTCGAGAGGTTTGGGGGGCTTCTTCGACAGTCTGTCGTCCGAAGTCCTGGGGGGCGCGGGGGCGAGGCGACAACAAAGATGGCGACGAAGACTACGACGAACACATCAAAGAAAACGGATGACGAAGTGGACGACGACGACGACGACGACGACGACGACGACGACGACGACGACGACGACGACGACGGCGGCGGCGGTGGCGGCGGCGGCGGCGGCGACGGCGGCGGCGGTGGCGGCGGCGGCGGCGACGACGACGACGACCATGAACACGACGACGACAACGACGGCGGCGGTGGCGGCGGCGGCGACGACGACCATCAGCATTACCACGACAACGACCACAACCACGACCACGACGACGACGACGACGCGGCCGGCGGCGGCGAATGCAGCGGCGGTGACGACGGACGACAGTTGCGACTGACACCGCAACGACTGACGGCCGAAGACCGACGAATGGAGACCACGAGGACAACGACGACGACGAAGACGACGACGACGACAATTGATGATCGACGACGACAGGTGACGAAGACGACGACGACGACAGCTCCGACGACGGCGACGATGACGAAGCCGACGACAACGGCATTTGCGATGACGACAAACACGACAACCACGATGGCGACGACGACTACGACGAGTCCTTGGTGGCTTCTTCGACGATCTGTCGTCAAGAGTCCTTTGGAGCGGGGAAAAAAAGACCCAGCCAGCCCCGAACATTGTCGTTGCCGCAAAGAAAGACAGCATCATCGCCGTTGCCGCGATCGTCGTCGTGGTAGACAGCGATGTCGAGAGGCACACCAGGGAAGGTGCGGGCGCAGCCCCGCAGGCCGAGACCCCCCGAGAACAGAACCGCCGCCGTCATCATTTGCGCAGTCCGCCCGTCGTCCGTCGACCGTGGTCCGTCGTCGTCGTCGTCGTCGTCGTCGTCGTCGTCGTCGTCGTCGCCGCAGCCGCCGCCGCCGCCGCCGCCGCTGCCGCCACACCGTCGCAGCCGCCGCCGCCGCCGCCGCCGTCGCCGCCGCCGCCGCCGTCGTCGTCGTCGTCGTCGTCGTCGCCGTCGTCGTCGACGTCGTCGTCGTCGTCGTCGTCGTCGTCGTCGTCGTCGTCGCCAAAGCCACCGCCGCCGCCGTCGCCACCGTCGTCGTCGTCGTCGTCGTCGTCGTCGTCGTCGTCGTCGTCGTCGTCGTCGTCGTTGTCGTTGTGGTCGTCGTGGTCGTCGTCGTCGTCGTCGTCGTCGTCGTCGTCGCCTTCGCGTCGTCGTCATCGTGGTTGTCGTGGTCGTCGTCGCCGCCTGCCCAAAGGTGGAGAATCGGGGTCATGGTGCACTTCTGCGCCCCCAAAGCGCCCTCTGGCCACGGCCAGATTGTCGTCGTCGGCCGTCGGCCGTCGGCCATCGAAGCAGCGGAGCACGACTTGGCGTCTGGGGAGGAGGAGGGCCTGGGTGCCTGACGCTTCTGCGGCAACTCATGAGAGCCTACACCCTGCGAAATTCTCAAGAAATCATGGGTTAAGAAACTCAGAGTCTCAGAATTCGAATAAACACCCAAAATTTATGCTGAAATCTTAGGATTTGCATTGAAAAATTAAGAATAATCGAGACTCTGGCCGAAAACTTAAGTTTTCTTGAGCATCGCCTAAGGTGTACCATACCATCTTGCTGGCTCCTGCGGAATCGACGCGGGCCGACGCCGGACCGACGCTGCAGCGGCGCGCCGGCGCACGCT